AAGTAGAGGCATACATCAAAAGGCACTTGCTCCGGACTTTTCTCGATGGATGGGCCTACACGGTTGTAGGGGTCGTGAAACATCTATTTAAAGTCGCAATGATGGCAGGCAGTGTAGCGCTTAATTATATATATACCGGCTTACAAACACGACGGGATCCCGCCAGGGACGCGCCAGGATCCTCCCTGGACCCCGCCAGGGACCTGACAGCTACCCGGCCGAACTGTAAGAGCCGGTCGGAACCCTACCGCAAGCCGCACGGGTAAAGACGGGAGACTGACCGGGCACCGGACGGGTCCCTGACAGAAACCGGCCGCCAAGGGGACCAAAAGTTTATGAATATTAATTAGAAGCCGCCGGCCGGAGCACAACCAGGCCCCGACAGGGAGCCGTAAAGGAACATTTAATTGTGACCCTGACAGTCGGCGCACGCACGGCTTCATGACGCCGGCCGGCGTCTACACCGAGGACATGCCGAACGGGCGCCGTTTCAAATGTGACCTAAGCATAAGTACGACCTGTATACAGTAAAGAGATCGTACGTTGTAAGCACCTACAATTCACTTCCCACTTACGCAACGTACGATGCACACAACCGCTCACGGCCAGACGTGGCGTGCAGACCACATACTTACACCTTGCACAACCGTGTGAGTGACGTGCGTTGACCGTATACTGCTCACGCCACTCCTTCCCGCGTTTTCAGAAACACGTAGCAGACGTGGCCTCCCAAAAAAACGTACAGACAAAACCATGTACGGCGGGTTGTGACCTAGGCTATAGCGAGGAATGGCGAATCCACATGACTGTTGCCGTGTTAATGCGCACAGTACGTCCCGGTTATCATAAAAAGGACAAACGTTGTACCAAGAAGACATCTAACCTCCTACGGTAACCGATGCGACCTGAGAGGTTGGGTCGAACCAATCCCCGCTGATGGAGAGAGTGGATCCTCCCATTGTGCTGCCGACCCGGGGACTCACGGAACTCACCTCTGCAACAAACAAAACCAGATTTCTCTTTTCATATATCGCACAGTAGCGCACAGTATCGCATAGTATGATTTCTTACGTATCGCACAGAGTACTACGTCTTACAAGTTAGAAAAGTACGAAAACTGAGAGCGCTATCGTATCTTGAATCTAGTTCTGTGTCTGAATGGGTTAGGGTTAGGATCAGGCACGGTCTTGGGTAGTCTCAAAGTATCAAAAAAGGCACGGTTCTGGATACGCGTGAACTATCCAATGCTGCAGTGCCAATGAAAGAGGCCCGAAGTTGACTTTAGCCTTTGTCTTCTCGGTACCTACCTACATAATATTATCACCTCGCACCCTTAAGTTATGTTGACCACAAATATGTAGAAACACACAAGCACGTACAGAAACACACACACACAGACATACACACAAAAATGAAACGGATGATGCCATGTCTTATAGAGAAAAGCAAACATGCATAACACACAGCCAGGAAATAAGGAAACACATTAACGATGTAAGTCCAGACGTATGTTGTGCTTACTTGCATAGGTCTGGAAATTGTACATCTTCATATTGGCACTAACACGCTTGGCTTCCCAGGTGCCTTCTGACCTAAAACAAGAAGCATTAAATAGATAAGTTTGTATTTCTGTTTTGTGTTTGTTTGTTCGTGTTTGTGTTTGTGCCTTTTCGGTGACATTAAACAACTTTGCACAAATGATCGATGTACAGCAAATAATTCATTTCTTGCATTTTTGTGATGTAAATTCCTCGATACCTTACAGAAATAAAGCAAACACCATTGATAGCGCCTCACCTTCCGTATTTGTCACTAACAATGATGCTGATGTTCTGGTGGCCTGCAAAATCATGAAAGCGTTAATGCAAGTTTTTTGGAAATGAAAAAAGATAAGTACCCATCGAACATAACCAACGTAGTACGCGTTTTTACACCCCATTGAAAGGTCATTTAGTTGAATTGAGTAAAATTTAAATAGAGTGGAATCATTTCTCAACTGATCATTCCTCAATAAGAGATGTGGTGCCGCATGGTTCCCTTTTAGAACCTTTGTTCAGTCTGTTACTCCATGTCACTGTAATGACAGGCTGAACACGACACTAAATTTGACACTCTACTGATACTGAGTATCATATTTCAAATAAAGATATTACAATAGCTACAATAGCCGGCGTTTAAATACATTGTCAGTTGAAATATGTCCAAATGAATTGATGTGTGATGAGTCTGACAGAAATCTTACCGACAAACTTGCCCTGTGGCACCGCCTTGAACGTTCCCCATTTGCTGGTACCTTCATCGTCCATCTCAATTCCGTACCTAAACAAAATAACAACTTCTAGAATGGACAAAACGTTCTTTTTTATAGCATTCAAACAGAA